ACGAAATATTTACCTGCGGGAAACTAGAGCCCCGATAGCCTGCATTTAGTGCGACGACACGCTCGCCGCCTGCGATACGCTGTTACGTATTCAGAGTACATTGTTCGGTCCTCGTCGCGATCCTATCCGCGTTCCCTCTTTAATTGCCCCGATCGAGGAACTGTTTTCGCTGCTCGTCGACCCGGCTTAACAACGATATTCCTCGGTGTTGCTCCCCGTATTCTTATCCGCGCCGTTCCCTCTAATGTTCATTGACACGCGTCTGGCGGAACAGTGCGCGCACGGGAATGACGTTCCGAATCGATGCCGCGGAGGAATGCGTCGCGTTTCCTCGAGACCATTAGCCCACGAGAAACCGTAGGCCTCGCCCCCGCCCGACGTGTACGTACATCGGGGAACCGCATCGCCGGAATTCACCGGAAATCAATCCGAGTGGCCGCCGACGCCTCCCGCGCCTCCCTTCCGCCCGACGCGATCCGCCGGGACGCGCCGCAAATTTGCATTTTCATCGGTTCGATACGAGTCCTCGGAAGACGAGGAACCGTCCTACCGCGCCAGGCGCGCGACTTCGGCTTCAATTTTTCCCCCCGATTCTCCGGTTTCACTCGGTTCAAACGTTCCCGACCGGCGTCCCGTCGATTGTCCGACCCGTCGAAACTCTTCCGGAAGCTGTTGGAGCAGCATCTTGCCGCGATAACGCTGGACAGAGGTTTTCCGCCGGGTTTTTGCTCTACTCACCGCGTTCCGGTCGCCTTCTTCGTGAGAGGCGGGCTGCGGAAGCGTGCTGGGATATCGCAAAAAAGTCCTTGGTGAAATCCAATTCCAGCGGGACGGTCTTGGAGCCGACGCCAGGCGGCGGAGGAAAAGAACGGACCTGACGCGGAAATCGGGGGTGGGAACGCGGCGGGACAAGGTCTCCGCGTCCGAGGGGTTGGACGGGGAGAGAAAAAGCGCGAGGAATTAGCGGTCGGACGCGTGCAATGCGGACGGGTCCGCATTGTTGTCCGGCCGTATTAGCCTCGGCAACGGCAGGCGAGAAGCGAGACTCGGTGTAACCGGAGGAACACGGGAAAGAGAGGGAAACGCGGCGGCCGGGGAGCATCCCCGAAACCGAGCAGCCCCTCCACGCCCCTGGGTTTCCCGGCTTTGTTCGCGGGATCCGCACGATTCCGGCGGTTCCCTTATTTTCCAGCGCGCTCTCCGTGATTTCTCCGTGCTCGCTTTTTTCCTCTCGCCCCGCTCGCGTTCGATCGCCACGGATCAGCTTCTGGCCGTTCCGACGTCGAAGGTCGCGGTGACTCACTAAATAGCCGGTTCCATATTCTGGTTCGAGCCGATCGATCGCGTTCGATCTCGAATTTTCGACGCCCGCCCTCTCGTCCCCCCGTCGAAATCGAGCGAGCTGTTTGTCGCGGAAACGTTCGTCGCAGGCCTCTCTGCCCCTCCTCACTCTCTCTCACTCTCGGCGCTCGTTTTTTCTCCTTCTCGCGCCTCGCCGTCGAACTTTATCGCGTCACGCGTTTTTCCCGCAGACACCTTTGTCGGTGTCAGAGGCTCGCCTTGAACTTTACCATCGTCCGCGCACGTTGCTCGCTGTCTTGCCGCGTCGGAATTATACAATTAATCGCGGCAAGAAGCGCCGGCCGATCGCGCCATCGATTCGTTTTCCTCTGAACTGACTAACCGCTCGATCGCGAGTCCGGTTCTGATGGTTTTTGGGAACGTGCGCGAGTAAAATTCCGAGTAAAACTCGCGCGAGTCGCTTTCGAGGTCGCTTCTCGGAAATCAACTGACTAACAGAGGTGACGGTCTTAAGGTATTTTCGTACTTGTCGTCGCTGTCAACGCGGCGGCTAGCGAGGAACGCTTCGGAGACCGACACGCGGTAGCTTCGCCCTCGACTGAACACCTAGCTTCAGATCTCGACCGATCTAGCCTGTTTCTCGTTAGGAAGGTCCTGTCGGCGTCCGATGATGGAGCAGATTTCGCCGGATTTCGTGTCGGTCGTCCCACGGTGCTCGCCCGCCCTTTGTGCACGCCCGTTGCAACGCGCTCGCATTGTGCGCCCCCGTCCACGTACGGTTTTTGTACGGGCGTGTTCCGCGCACGGGCCACGTTCCACCGCTTCCATCCGCGTTCCGCTTGCGACGTGCATCGCTCACGGGGGTCCGCGCGTTCTGCAGCTGCCCCATCCTCCGTGTCGAACGCTGCATCCTGGTCTACCGCGTTAAACAATCCCCAGCTGATATATCGTGAACGAGGCGCGGCGCAGATGAATCTGTAGCGTAGCGAAAAGAGAACAAGGTTGCGGTTGCGGCGGATGGATTTTATGATAAACACGAGCGAACCGACGGACGGAGCATCGAAGAATGCTGTGCACGCGCTTCGAGAAATTTGCGTGTGCGTTCGATTACTAGGACGCGTTCGGATCGTCGGTCGAATTGGTTTGAATGAGGATCCCGTGTAAACGCAGCCTAAGGGGCGCAGCGCGTCCGCGAAACGAAAAACCGGTGGCGCGACATGTGTCCAATGACGCGGTCCTCTCCCGGTTTTATGGAACGGGCATAAATCCACCGGGAGCAGGAGAGCGCATCCGCGGCCACGATTTCAATCTCGGGCCCTTTCATAAAAGAACTCTCGCGGACGCGGTCGCGCGAGCGAACGGTCGCGCGCGCGCTCGCCCGTAAGCGCGCAATAATTCTCCCTATTCTACACGGTGTTCATTAATTACCGGTCCTGGCCGAGGCCAAAGAGAAAGAGGAATTATGGATCTGCCTTTATCCGTGCATCGGACACAGAGCCGCGCTCGGAAGCGAAGGATATACCGGGCCCGCGGGATTTCTTTCTCTTTGTCTCCTTTTTTCTCGTCGGCCGTCGCGATAAGCCTTTCTTGCGATTATTTATTATTTGCGAAATTTCCCCGTGTAAATTGCCACGCGAATCCGCCTTTAATTTAAACGTCCGCGGCGAACAATCGGCCGCGTTCCCCTCCGGGGGACGAGCGGACGAGAGTCAACGATCGGACGCATCGCCGCCGGTAATCGACGTTTCACGAGATTCGTCCGACTCGAGGTGGACGGGAATGTCTCCGAACGACAGGCTGGAGCTGTCTCGAGGGTTTCCCGGCGGAGGGGAGAGGAAGAGGGTGAACGGGGAGCCGAGGGCCTCGTGCGATCCGCGAAACGAGAGCAGGGCTGCGCGCAGCGGGAGTCGAGAACTCGTGCGAGAGCGAGGCTCGCACGGAGGCTGTACGGAAAAGCGGCGAACAAAAAAGCTAATGCCGAACGAGAAACAGTTTATAATCCGTAGAAGTTAAGATCGAGCGACAATGCGCCACGCGGAGCGTAATAGGGGGCGCTTACAGGATTACACGCCGGCCAGGTAAACGCATTTGCCGCGTTCGCCGGCTCGGGGCCCGGCTTCCCCGGGGTCCGAGGGGGGCCGGAGCGTCGTTATTTCGGATGATCGAGAAGCTACGTGCGTGTGTACTGGGTGGCCCGGTAAACTAACCGGCTCCGGGAATCACGGCGCGAAAAAAACGCGACGATCAATTTCGGGGCGGGACGACGGGTCCGTGCGGAAGAGGAACGCCGGTGAACATTTGTTAGCTGTTCCAGAACAAACGACGAAATTACGCGCGAAGATGGCGCGGCAACGCGAAAGGTGCGCGTAACGCGGGGGTATCAATTCCGATCGATCAATGGGGCTTCCCCGCGCGATTAGTAGGCGAACGCCGTTTAGCCGTTAAATACGACGTTTCGGAGCGTAATAGCGGCAATTATCGTGTTAGTAGCTATATTCCGAAGGCATCCGTCGCTTCGTACCTTTCGCCGTGTAATTACGTCTCGTTAAGATCTCGGGAATGTAATCCGGCTCGCTCGCGGACGAAACTGGAAAACCGGAGCGCGCGCCGGTGCCGGCCGAACACCATCCCGGCCGTCTTGCCGCGTCCTTCTTCTTTTTCCTCCGCGCCTCCTTCCCTCCGGCGTACGAGCCGCCGCCTTTTCTCGCGTCGTTTCGCGATCTGTCCTGCCCATATTTCACGCCGTTCCGTGCCGATCTCCCGGCTCGAAGAAAACCTCTCCGCCCGAGAATCCTGAAGGTACATCGACGCTGAACTCGTTTAGTTCCTCGATCATCCAGTTTTCGGAATTCAGATACTTTCACGAAAACTAACGGGTATTCGACACGTTGCGTGCGAATGATCGGCTCGGTGTAAAGGGGTAATTGAATCATTAGCAACGTGGAAGTTCCAGTAAACGATTCCCCGGGAATCTCTAGACTCGGACTATCCGAAACTCGGGAGATTGAAAGTTCGGTGTTAGCGATTTTCCACAGGCGGCGCGTGAACTTTCACGCACCAGGCCTGGCTGGCTGCGCGAATCGCAAGGCCCACGAGTGTAGGACGAGTAGGAAGACGCCGAGGAGGCGAGGACGAGCCATAGAATGCCGAAGGTGAGCTCCGGGGGATACGTAATCCTTCGAGCATTCTCGCTCGGCACGATCCTTTTCGGATCCTCGCCACCGTCTTGTCGCGCACACCGTTGTATTAATGACGCCGGGCAACGGGGAAAGACGCGTACCCAACGAATCGTCCAGGAAAAGATGTGTATCGGGCCCGACAGGAAATCGGAACGTGCAGACGCGACGAAATTATGAATGCCGCGAGATCGAGAGACGAAAGTGCCGTTACGGATTAGAAGGCACGGGGCTCGATCCTGCGAGCAGGCGGTCGTCGAGTCGGTCTAAATCGTCGCCGTAAACTCGTACGCGTAATGGCCGGCCGAGATCGAGATCGGCCAAGTTTTACAACGACGTGGCGACCCCGGTTATCGTAAAACCGAGCGTATACGATTTCCGCGCCGTCCGCGTCGAAAGAACAATCCGGTGTAGGGTTTCCGTCGCGGCTCGTTTCCCGGCCACTTTGGGGTCTCGATCGCGATTCCGTTGGACGAGAAACCGGGACACCCTGTCGCGGTTCCCGTTCCCCGAGAGCGGCGCTGCGCGGAGACCACGATTCTATCTGTCAGAGGTTGGTTATGTCGTTTGGAAAGCAGGGAGCGCGACAGCGGCGCGCGCGACGACCCTTTGCCAGCGGCTTTCGATCGGGAATCTAATGGTGACGGATCGACGACGGAATCGATCCCCGAAGGGTCACGGGTCACCGTGAAACCCGGTGGTCGTCGCACCTTTTGTCGCCGCGTCGACAGTCGCCGGAGCTGCGCAGCCTCTATCCAGCCTCGAACGAGACAGAGAAAGAGAAGGGGCGGGTGTCCTTAGATGGTTCTCGCGGTGATTCGTCATAGGCGTGACCCAACGACGACGACGTTCCATCCTAATCGCGTCATCGACGTCCACGACGCTCGACTTTTTCTCGGCGAGATAGGATCTCGCGACGCTGTTACCGCATACCGCTCGATACACGCGCGCGCGACGAGGCCTTCGGCTGCAGGTGTTGCCGTGGCTGCCGATCCGATATCTCGATCATCGGACAAGACTCCCGATTCGCCGAAACTCTTCCCAGCCGAAGATCCTCGCGCGAAACACGACGAGGAACGAGAGACGGTTGAAACCAGAAGCGACAGCTAAGAGGCAGCTGCGGGAAGAAGCTAAAGAGAAGCTGGAGTCATCGAGATGGCTGCTTGAAGATCCTCGGGTCTATCGGAGAGGCAGCTCCCGAATAAAAGCAGAGCTGCTAGAGGGAAGCTTTAGCGCCAAACGGAAGAAGCGAAAGACAAGTGGCTCGCGTTTGAGCGCGACGGACAGGGAGAGCGAGACAGAAGCTGCGGAGCTGGTAGAGGATAGTAGGCAGCTCGGAGCGAGCGAGCAGCGGGTGCTCCGGATCCGACTGGACCGGTTCTGCCTGGATTCCCTAGGAGTTCTAGCCTTCGGGACTCTGTTCGAGCTCTCTCGCAGGATTCTCACTGGTCACCGGCTGCTGGTCACCGGTTCGCTGGCTACGACGCAGCAGACCGGACCACTCTTTGGCCGGTCCAGCTCTCTTTCTCCCTCTGTCTCGGCATTTTTTCCTCTTCTCGGTCGCTCTTTCCCTCCTTTCTTCGTTGCTTCCTTCCTTCCTTCCTTCCTTCCTTGTACCTCGTTTCCCTGGCTGTTACCCCAGCGGGGAGGAAGTTTCGCGCCGCATCGGCGGACCCGTTCCCGGTGCTACTCACTACGTTTCAACGTACCATTTATCATCGGGCCGCGTCGCTGCACCGGCGCTCTCTCCTCTCCGGCCAGCTCCGCTGGCTTCTCTGATGACTTGATACTAAACGCGCGCGCGCGGACCAACTTCGCGCGACACCGATACGACCGCGCACTATCTGATCCGTTCCCGGGGAGACCGAGAAAGGCTGGCGTGGGCCCCTCTCGTTTCTCGTTCCGCAGCGCCGAGAGACCCGGAGACGCGACGCGACGCGACACGACGCGGCGCGGCCGAACCACGGGATACACGTTGGGATTCTGCGCGATCCGAGATATTCCCGGTCCGCTGCTTCTGCCGCTGCTCGCCGGCCCTTTAATTATACGAGTGGCTACGCAATTTGTCTTGTTATCGATCCGAGATTTCTGATTCCACGGGTCGGCCCCTCCGCCCCGTCCCTCGCGACTGCATGCGCGAGAATCCCACCGCGACGATTCGGTTTATTCCACTCGAGAAACCTTCCGACGATCGCCGTCCAGTTTTCCAGCGCGAATTTTCGCACACTTCTGCGGCCGCGTCCTCCTCTTCTTTCTTCTGGCTCGTCGTCCGAGGGTTCCAGCCAGCTATTATGCGCTCCGCGGAAGAGCCTCCAGCGTGCGCTACACGATTGCTCCGGTTACCCTCGCTCGCCCCGGCGCAGCCTCTTTCAGGCTGCATCGGGATCCAGTTTTCGAATCGGGTTCCTCCGCCTGAAACCGTGCAGGATGACCGTTGTCGGGGAGGAAGCAGCTCGACACCGGCCATCCTGACCGTTGACATCGGTTTTGTCTCCGGCGACAGCCTGTGCGCGGAGAAAGGTGCCAGCGAAAGAGAAAGGGTTGCGCTTCCAGCTGGCAGGGTGAGAAACTCGGAGGCTAGCTTCCATAGTTCGCCGATGAATTCGGTCGTTAATTACGCCCGGGAACAGGCGCCTACTCATTTTTCAGCGAGCCGCTCGAACGATCGCTAGGATTCTTCTGGCAGCGACGCCCGTTTCTTTATTTACGGCGGCGCGGGCCCTTCGCGGCCGACGATTTAAATTAATATCCTCGAATTTCCCTCCGTCGCCGAAGACTAATGGCTTTCGTCCCGCGCCGGGGAGAGCCAGCCGAGCTCCAGTCCGAGTTTTCCAGCGGAAAACGAGGCCGGCCGTCTTGGAACGCGCCGCGAACCGCTCGCGCCGCGATCGATCAACGTCGACGGGTTGTTCTCGCGGCTGCGAAAAAAATAATTTCGCTGTCGACGACGCGGAGAAGTACGCAACGCGATCGAGGAAATTATTCCGCCGTGGAAAATTCCGCGCGACCGAGCCGCATTCCGTTACGGACGGGCGACAGGGCGGGGTGACGCAATGTTATCGCGCGGCGTCGCGAAACCGCGAGTTTTCCGGGTCCGGCGGAGGCTCGAAATTTCGATCTATCGACGTCACCGATCGACGAATCCGCGCCGATCCCCCGAACAAGGAAAAAGCCGGGGCGCCCGGTTCAAGTAATCGGCCGACACCGGCGGGAATCGGCGCGACCGAGCGATCATTATCGGCCACTTAGCGTCGTTAATGTCATAATTATATCAAATCGCAGCTATTAGCTGACAACGCGGAACGCGAGGTGTAATCAATCGCGCGGTGCGTTAATTGTGCCCGGCGAGCGTGCCCGGACGTGGGCAGCCGACTTCGATTCGATGAGAACCCCGCCGGTGTAAACACCGGGGAGAAAGCCTCGGATAGTTTTCTACGAATGCGCGCGATCGATCTGTAACGGCGGGCTGTCGCTGTCGCAACGAATGGCCATTTTATTTTATTACTCCGTCGCAAATTAATTGGACGAACGAAACACGCCTGTAATAGCGTTTATAATAGCGCGAACGGACATTCGCTTTATGGTTTCGGGCACCGGGATCCCCGTTACGGTGCACCCGTTGACACGGTACATTTAATATGTCAAACATCGCCGATCGGTATCTAATTAGATCTCGCTCAGGTGGGAGACCAGTCGACACGACCGAAAATCACACTTACCCAGACGTCGACGCTCGAGCTCGGTGCACGCGGCGGCTAACCCGAACTAAACGCTGTCCTTCGCAAAATTCCAGTTTCCTGACCTCGGATCGCCGATCGTCCCACGGATCCATCCTGGACCCGACAGCCGCCAGGGCCCGGGACTCGCGGGGTCCGGCCCGGACGCAGCCATCGGCAGCGACAAGCTCGAACAACGGAAAACCGTCAACGGATCGTGGTCGGATTCGAGGTAAGACGTCCGGGGAATCTCGCTCGCCTGCGAACAGAAAGGTGTCCGAGCGTGTTAATTCGAAGGGTGGAGCAGCCGCGGGAGCGACGCCTCGCTCGCCGGTCCGCGGTCAAACTGTTAAACGGAGGGCCCGCGATTTTCGCGAGGGATTTACGATTCGAGAGCGAGCGAGAGGGTAAGGGTAATCGGCGGTCGCGAGCTCGTGGATCAACTCGTTGCGATTCGTTAATTATTACCGTGGAGCGGACTAGAGCGAGTCCGTGTAAGCGGTACGGGCGGAGGGAGGACGAGGACGAGGATCAGGAGGAGGACGGGGGTGTGCGGCTGGGACACCGTACAGAGGAAGGGTAGGGGGACGCGCGAGACGGAGGAGCAAAAAAGACGGTCGATCGTTAGCAAGGTACAAATTTCGCCATTTGCCGCAATAAACCTTCGAACCCGCTTGTAACTTCTTCTTATGGGAGGCATGAGTAATCGCCTTGTTAGCCCTTATGGCCTATAGCGCTCATACGCTCGCTCCCTTGTCCATGGGAGGGACAACAACAACAACAACGCCAACAACGGCCGACATGCACGCACCGCGATTACAAAAAAACGATCAGCATACTGGGGGAGAGAGCGAGACGGAGGATGAGTCGACGACGAAACGGAGCCGAGGGA